ATGAGCGATACATAGGACTCGCTGAAAAGACGGAGCCTTTCATCAGGGCATCAGGATCCGACAGAGTTATCATGTCGTCTCACAACTTCACACAAGGTTTCTATGCCTCTCGAGGAGAGTCTGGAGATGGCTACACCGATGACATTCTTGTAATTCCCGAGGAGCCCAATATCAACAACACACTGTCACATGGAACATGTAGCTCCTTCGAGGACAACGATGAGATAGGCGATAACAGTGCGCAGACCGCCTGGGGAAACAAATTCTTGCCTCCTATTCGGGATAGACTGAATAGGAATCTGCACAGAGCCAAACTGTCGTTACAGGAGACGATCTATCTCATGGATCTGTGCCCTTTCAACACAGTCAACACTCCTGATGGTGTGGGACAATCCCGTTTCTGCGACCTTTTCTCCACAGAAGATTGGCGAAGCTACGATTACTACATGACTTTAGGCAAATATTACGAATATGGTAATGGAAACGCAATGGGACCGACACAGGGCGTAGGATACGTCAACGAGCTTGTTTCTCGATTGACGAGGAAGCCTGTTAATGACCACACCACAACCAATCGCACGTTGGACGCCAATCCTGCGACATTTCCCTTGGACAGGGCGCTATATGCAGACTTTAGCCACGACAACACTATGGTATCTATTTTCTCAGCAATGGGTCTGTACAACTCGACAAGCAAGCTACCGAAACACCATATCGTACCAGCTATCCGAGCACATGGCTACTCATCAGCATGGGTAGTCCCCTTTGCTGCGCGGATGTATGTAGAGAAGCTCGAGTGCGGCGCTACAAGTGAAGAGAAGGGAGAAGAATACGTGAGGGTGTTGATAAATGACAGAGTTATGGAAATGGAGAGCTGTGGAGGAGATGAGTATGGACGGTGTAAACTGGAGGATTTCGTGGAGAGCTTGTCGTTTGCGAGGCAGGGAGGCCATTGGAATAAGTGCGGTATCAAAAGATGAGCCCCTAGGAAGAGTTAGATATACAGAGCGGATAATTGCATGCTTTTTTTACTACTCCAAGAGGCTGGTAGCCGTTGTAATGAACTGAAATAGACTCGGATGCAAGGGAGTGGATATGGTCGGGTGAGGAATACGAGGGATGAAATAAGATGCTAGCTACCTAATTAAGGTATTTAACGCAACACTGAATTATGCACCGATATCGATCGGATCGTGCACCTATAACTAAGCCTAATTGGGACGTTTTTAGAGTCTCTTATTGGTTAAGAAAATATGCCCCATAATTCAGCACGCACAGACCATTTTCAAAATTCCTTATCAGCTCTTATCAGCTCATCAAAGTCATCTCTTAACAGTACATTTAACTTTTACCCTAGTAAAATAGGCCTATTTTAACTAAATTAGGCTATTTAGTTAAGGTTAGTTAGTTATAGGCTATAGGCCGCACTTAGGGTTAGGTTAGGGCTTCGGGTTAGGGCTAGGGTCAGGGTTATTCGGGATATATCCTGTTGCTGCTAGTTAGTGCAATTTAGTGTGAGTGACTATAGGTACACGATCCGATCGATATAGGTGCACAATCCAGCGTTGTATTTAACGAGATCGGAGGAAGCTAGGAGTTCGACTTACCAGAAAAATTAAATCATTTTCACGATGCTTAATCTTGGAAAGAAGTCCAATTGAGATGAAAATGTGAATGTAAGGTACCTAAGCATTAGATGTTGCAATTGAAGGTTGAGAGTTGAGACTTCTCGGGCAGGGAACAGATATGAAACTCTTACAGGGACTTAAACGCCTTTCTCCACTACAGCGGGCCACTGATACTAAATCAAGAGCCCGCATCAGCGCCAAGCCCACTGTAAGCAACCCTAGCTAGGGGAGGAAAGAAAATACAGGCCCTTGACCCTAAGCAATAAAAATATTTAGGTAAATCTAGCCTAAGCTTAGGGGGCCCTTTGCTAAGTTTATTTTGGCACCCTGTATCAAGGTCCGGTGTTTTCTTGCTCCCTGAGCTAGGTAGTCCGTGGACGTTGACAGAAGTGGACCTCTCCCTAAGCTTTTCCCGTCCAGTCCTCCAGCGCCCATTACATCCACTCAATTGAAGCCCAGTCAGTGACATCTTCATACTGCACTTGCACCGTAGGAGCTTGGACGAGGCACCACCACCTCATCCCAACAAGAGAAACAAAGGACTCCAAATCTCACCTGCGAAAATAACCCTTCACTGCATCTTTCCTTCCACCGACGGAGTATTACTACCATTCAAACATCAAAACAGATAACCCCACCGTTGCGATTTGCGCCCGGCCAGCATCTGTCTCACTAGGTATCTCGTCTTTCGTCACCACGCGACTGCATCGCAAATTCCTTGGGACACACATAAGCGGGATCACAGAAAGATGGTGTCGACGGCAGGAGGCATCGTTATCGCCATTATCGTCCTTCTCGTTGCAGGAGCTGTTGGGTGGGTTATATTCACACAGCTTCGTGCTCGCAGACTCGGCGTATGTCAATTCCTTCAGTCCCAATCCTGCCAATCAAATTAATGTCCTATCTCTACAGCTCCCCCCTCCAAGTCTCGCTTCGTATCTACCATGGCACAAGGAAGACAGTGGCTATGGAATACAGCCCGCCCCTAGCGGCATCGCTGGCTGGTTCCACGATAAGATTCGCAAATTCAAGAACCGCAACAACCGATCCGCCGCAGGCGCTTACGAGCAATCCGGCGGTACTCGCGGCCGTCGCGGCTTCGGCCCACTCGATCCTGATGAAGCGTGGGACTCGCGCGTTGGAAATGAAGCAGACCAATATGGATACTATGAGGAGGACGTTGGTGGTCGCAGCCGGGATACCGGATACGGCGGTGGTTACAACATGAACCTTGCGGCGACGCCGGGATTGTCAGGCGGTCGAGGTTTCGACGAAGAGGAAGATCGGGGACGTAGAGCAAGCAGAAGCCCTGCATCGGGACCTGGAGGACGAAACCCGTTCGATGACGATGCTGGTTCAAGTTTGCGCGGCGTGAGCCCTCGACCTATCGACACAGGAGTTGCGAAACCCAAGAACAGAAGCGGCAGCGCCGAGAGCAGTCCGACAGAGCGACGGTCTGTGTTTAGGGAGAACATGTAAGACGAGACGTAAGCTGAATAAGTCAAGTATGTTGCGGAAGACGAGACAAAAGCTGCGCGATTATGGACTGTCTGCGAGTTTTGCTATGTTTGCCTTTCTTTCTTTCTTTCTTTCTTTCTTATTTACTGGGCTTGGGAACCTGTGGTTCATGCAAAGTTTGGACTTGGCTTGGTGGAATTCTGATATATCATGACATTGTGTATGTGATGCGAGGATTCTTTCAATTTGGTAATTTACGGAAGTCTTGTATCACCCTTGTCGATAGTGATTTGAGACTCAACTAACGGCGTTTCTATCCCTAGAATTGGTCGAGAAATGCCATGTGTCCAATTGAAGCACAGCACAAACCCAACGTGCTATTTATCCCCTGTTCATTGAGTATCGCTGCAATGTTAGGAAGCTCCGGATGGTCTGTTCTGACCGGCCCCGGCTTTCGGCCCCTCACAGACGTCAGCTTGAGCTGCCCCACCAAATCATTGAGAACCCCCCATAAATCTGTGCCTTCGCTTCATCATTATACCATCGTATCTTGTTCAGCCAACAACAAGAGAGGCATTATACATAATGACTGATATCGATCTTCAAGCTGTTCATGATGAGCTCGTCTCAGTGGCTTATGAGGCCGGAGCCATGATCTTGGCTGCCAATCCTGCTGAGCTCGACACCGACACCAAGCTCAACTGTACGATCATGTTCTGTCCATGATGCGTTTTGTAGCTGACACAATTGCAGCCGTGGACATTGTTACTGAAGCAGACAAGGGTGTTGAAAATATGGTCTCAACCCGTCTCTCCTCATCATTCCCTTCAATCTCCTTCATGGGCGAAGAAACATACAAGCCTGGAGTGAGACTTGGCCCTGAGCCAACTTTCGTTGTCGACCCAATCGATGGAACGACCAACTTCGTGCACTCATTCCCCAGCGCCTGTATCTCTCTCGGCCTCGCAATCGATCGTCAGCCCGCCATTGGCGTCATCTATAACCCATGGCTCGACACTCTCTACACCGCCATCAAGGGCTGCGGCGCCTTCCTTACACACGGACGTGGAAAAGAACCCCGCCGCCTCCCTCTCGCACGCTCACCGCGACCCATCGAGGGCCTCGGCAGTTCTCTCGTCGCTGTTGAATGGGGAGCGCAACGTGACGGGCCCAACTTCGATGTAAAGGTGGAAGCATTCCGAAAGCTCACAGCGACTCCAGAGAACGGCGGATCAATGGTTCACTCGTTGCGGTCGATGGGCTCTGCTGCGCTGAACATTGCTGCTGTGGCTGCGGGACAAGTTGACTTGTACTGGGAGGGTGGATGCTGGGCGTGGGATGTTTGTGCTGGATGGGCGATCCTCAACGAGGCTGGTGGGCGCATGGTACATGGAAACCCGGGCAATTGGGATCCTGAGCTTGAGGCACGTGTATATCTTGCTGTGCGAGGAGCACCAAGTGGCCAAAAAGAGCTTATCGAAGAGTTCTGGGGCGTCCTTGGCGATAAGAAGCTGGATTACTCTGTATAGAGTCGCCATGAGGTAAAATAGGGTGTTCCCTGAGGAGAAAAAGGGCATACAGAGAAACGAACGCGAATCGCGATAATGGAAATAAGGTCACTTGCGAATAGTATCACTTCTTTGGTAATCTTTGTCAAATGCCACTAGCCATCTATAGACCCGGGATAGACAATAGGAAAGGATAGCAAAGCACCTGGTTGCTCCGTAAAAAGATCCCATAATACAGTTGTAGCGGTTTCCGCTTCGTCTCCATTTCACAAAACTTGATGGTTTTTGGAAAACCCCCCTTTTTTTGTTCAATAAATGGTATCAGCCTAAATGATGTTGGTCGTTCCTTGGTTCCATTTTCCTCCTCGGTTCAGAAGAGCGATTTTAATTCCGTCCTGAACTTGGCTTATTCGGCCTTGACATCGACCTTCTTGGCAGCAGGCTCGCCAGAGGGAGCATCCTCGTCGCGGCTTCGCTTCTTGTTATCGGCAGACTCGTCGGCGGTAGACTGGATGCGAGGGGTGGTGCTGTGTATTATGTTAGCAAATACCTCTCGGTATAATGATTAGGACGGCTTACTCGTTGCTGCTGTGCTTGACTTCGTCCTTGGACTGATTACGGTCACGTCCACCATCGCGTCCACCACGGCCACGGCCTCGACCACGACCTCCTCGGCCGCCGCGTCCACCTCGTCGATCCTTGAAACCGTTCTTCTGGTCGGTCTCGCGTCGCTGCTTCCAGTCGTCCTGGTCACGACCACGAGAATCCTTTCCACCTCGTCCACGTCCACCCTTGCCTGTCTCTCTACCCTCATAAAACTTGCGGGGATTGCTCTGGTTAGGCTCAATCTTCCCTTGCCGGATAAGGTCGTTCTTCTCGTCGCAGTAAGCTCGTTTGCTCATGATTTTGAGATCGTGGTCCTTCCACTTAGGCTTGGGGTCAATCTGGACGAACTTGTTCGCCTCATCCTCGTCGGCGAAGGTGACGAACACGGAGCCCTTGAAGAGACCCTCGTTCGTGCGTCGGAGCTTAAGACCCTTGACCTCGCCAAACTGAGCGAAGAAGCTTTCAAGGTCGAACTGGGTGTTAGGGGCCTCATCGCCAAAGCCCTTGACGTAAACGGTAGCGGCTTCGACCTTGGACTTGGGCGCGTTCATGGGCTGGTAGGGGGTCTTGCGCTTGACGACCTCTTCCCCCTCCTCACCGGAAAGCTCAAGAAACTTGCTGTCTTTGAGCGCAGCGATGACAGCGCTGTAGGGCTGGAATGTTCGCATACGCTTGAAGGAGTGGATAGTCTTGACCTTCATGGGCTTGTTTTCGCTTCCGCCGCATGACTCCCACATGAATTTGTCCTGAGGGAAGTTCCAGTCGCCAAAGTAAAACTCGACCTAAGGGAGTAAGTACACGCACGCGCGACAACGGGAGATGGGTGAAGCTATACATACCTGCTTGCGGATAGCCTCAGGGTCATCAGTGATCTCACGGGTCGAAGGGTCGAATTTGCGGTTGTTGCGAGGGTTTGCATCATCATGCCTGGCTGTGGTCTTCAAAATCTCCTTCTTCTCTTCAGGCTTCTCCTCAGGCTTTTCTGTGGAATCCTCTGCCTTCTGCTCTGTCTTCTCTTCAACCTTCTCTTCCGTGGGCTGTGTGGCAGGAACCTCGGCCTCAGGCTGGACAGCCTCGACAGGCTTGGGAGCTTGAGCTTCGCTCATTGTGAGTTTCGACCGTTATTTAATAATTGGGAACGATTCGCGATCGTGATTATTTCACGGTCGCAGGCTAAGAAGTGTTGAGTGGTAGGATAAAGAGGAAAGAAGCTAGAAGCGAAGTGAGAAAAGGTCGCGAAAACGTAAAAGATGGTGGCGGGGTTGAAAAAAAAAACGAGTCATCGGTGTGACTGTTGCCTGTTCAATGAAGCTTACCTTGATAGAAAGAATTGACTCGAGGTTACAAAATTGATGAGATTTTGTTTGTATCAAACAGATACAGTTGATGAAGAGTAAAAAATTGCGATTGACTGATTCTGCCGGCGCGAGGGAAAAAATCACATTGAAAAAAACCCATTGAAAGGCCCATCTCTCGCTAGCCTTAGCTTTGCGATTTCACCGCCCGCCTTTTTAGGCGTTGGAGGTCCGCTATCCGTACTGTCTCTCGCAGGGCATTACCCCCCACCGCGGATGACCCCACTTTCCTGCCGCTCCCTCCATTGTTCTAGTAGGAGGTAAGTAAGGTACAGTACCTACTTAGGTACCTTATCCTTGAGATGAAGGAGAAGTCTATTAGGGTTTAGCTTGTACCATGACGATGACAACTTGAGATCAAACTTCTAATTCGACAAATACATTATGAACTTGGACGATTTCAGAGCAAGTCTCTCAGTCGATCAAACCAGACATAGCTTATGCCGCAATTGTTCGATTTGAGTTGTCAAGTTCTACAACTAACTGTATCAGAGCAGAGCGGTTGATCTAGAGATCGAGTATCGACGGCTTTCCCCCCAAATCGAGTCACCCTACCACAATGAAACTTGGCAATAATTAGGCTCTTTTAAAAACGAGTGCATGAATTGAACGTCAGCTGTAACCTGATCGGGCCTTGTCTTGTCTCCTTGGCTCGGAACCAAGCTTTTTGACCATCCAAGTTGAAAGCGGACCTGAAGATCCGTGGCAGAGAAGAATATCACATGCCAAACAGAGAGAAAACCTCCGAATGGAACCGCAAAAGTTAAAACATCTGATATAATAAACGGGAGCTTTCGATTCTCTTGCTTAATCCGTGGCATGATGCGGGAGCGTCCGCCTGCCCCGACGTACTTGTGACCTCCGACAGCGATAGACAAATAGGTAGGTACTTTGAAATGGTCGAGACTCATATTCAGCTCCCCTCTACTCCGTACAGAGTAGTTTTGCATTCGTAGACCCACATCCCTCCCACTTTTGCAGGTCGGAACTTGGGAATGACATCAGCCATCTTAAGCTATTCTCAACAAGTTGCGCAACGTAAGGTAGTGCCATACAAAATCCCCAGCACCCAGGCACCAACTCCTTCGGATACCTGCCGAGGTGTCTACCTAATCTCGCTGTTCAATCTAACATTTCGATTCTATACTCTCTTTCAAAGATCTACCCATATTCCTCTGTTTGTCTTGCGACAATGCACTAAGTTTGGGCTTGCAGCCACTGAAAGCATGTGCTGTGCGCTGTCAAACTATGACAATACAATTCTCGACAAAACCCAATTGCGCCCAAAACCATGAGACACTACCGTGGCTCTCTCAAGAGCCTGAATAGAGTCACTACAAGACTCAATACCCACCAGCGGATTCCTCGACGAAGATTATCGCATCGTCAACACCGCCATCTTTGGACATCCTCATCCAAGAACGATGCCAAGCAAGAAGCACAGCAAAAATCGACGTTTCCAGTAGCAGTAATTACAGGCGGGCTTTTCATCTGGTGGCTCTACCCTTCTGACGACTTTGCACAGCTTTCCGGTAAACAATTAAGGCAGCGAACCCATGAGGACTCTCCAAAGGACGAGAAACAAGACAAGACTCAGGATGGAGAATCAGATACGGATCAGTCGGCCTGGATAAACTTTGCTCGCCGCTTCGAGGCGTTCAGTAAGCTCAACGATGTTCAATTTTCTTCTTTCTCCGACAAGGTCGTTAGTTATCTGCTCCCTGAGTGGTCCAGACTTATCCCAGGCTATATTCGGAAACTTCAGGGTGAACTCTCTATGTCCCCGGGCTCTCTAGCCGACGAGATTTGGCAAGACGCTCACGACCCCTTAATCAATCCCGAGATTCGATATTCAGCCAAAGTTCGAGTTTCGCCAAATCTTTGCGATGAAGAGAAGGAATTTTTGTCCCGACGAAAACGAGTTGCCAGAGTAGGGCTGGCTAAATATCTCGGACTAAAGGAGGAGGATGTCCATCCAGATGATGTTCCGACAATTGCCATGTGCGGCTCTGGTGGAGGTCTTAGAGCACTTATTGCTGGAACTGGATCAATTCTTGCCACAGAAGAAGACGGGTTGTTCGACTGCGTCACATACACCTCGGGCGTGAGCGGCTCATGCTGGCTCCAAGCTTTGAGTCTCACATCATTCAACAAGGGCAACATTCGTAACCTTCTCGAGCACCTCAAAGCAAGGGCCTCAACCCATATCGCCTACCCACCCGTGGCCTTTCAATCTCTTGCTTCCATGCCCACTAATAAATACCTCCTGAGTGGCATGGTCGAGAAGCTCAAGGGTGATCCCAAGGCAGATTTTGGTCTAGTTGATGTATATGGTGTCTTACTGGCAGCGCGGTATCTTGTGCCCAAAGGAGACCTTGGGGTCAACGATCGCGACTTTAAGCTCTCAAACCAGCGCCACTATGTCCAGTACGGGCAATCACCGATGCCCATCTATACTGCTGTGAGACACGAAATTCCTGACTTGCCAGAGGCTGCCGAACAAGGCCCTATCGAAGTCGAGATCGCCAAAGAGAAAGCCAAGAAGGAGGCGTGGTTTCAGTGGTATGAGATCACACCCTACGAATTCTTTTGTGAAGAGTTCGGAGCCGGAATTCCCACCTGGGCTCTGGGCCGCAGATTCAACCAGGGATGTGATGTTCCTCCTGAGGATGGCTTCCATCTCCCTGAACTTCGGTTGCCACTCCTCATGGGCATCTTTGGTAGCGCATTCTGTGCAACTCTCAGTCATTATTACCGAGAGATCAAGCCACTTGTCCAGGGGCTGACGGGTTTTGGGACCATTGATGAACTCATCTCGACACGAGACGATGACTTGGTCAAAGTGCATCCTATTGATCCTGCCAAAATACCCAACTTTGCCTACGGAATGCACGGAAAACTACCGGAAACCACGCCGACCAGTATTTATGATAACGAGTATATTCAACTTATGGATGCTGGGATGTCTAATAACTTGCCTATCTACCCCCTCCTGCGGCCAGGCAGAGATGTGGACGTACTTGTTGCCTTTGATGCCTCTGCGGACATCAAATCCGACAACTGGCTCTCAGTCGTCGATGGCTACGCTCGTCAACGCGGTGTCAAGGGTTGGCCCGTCGGCATTGGCTGGCCTAAGTCTGGAGAAGCCACATCCCAGGTCGTGGAAGAGCTAGACGAGGCACAGGCGAAATCTACTCGTGAAGCGGAGACTAAACTCCGCGAGGCCAAAAAAGAGCAGGATGAGCTTCGCCAAGAAGCTCACGAACAGGGCAAGCGAGTTATGGCAGAGAATGACAAGACCAGATTCGAGCCTGGGGATCAAGAGTCCGGCGATCTGGGCTACTGCACTGTCTGGGTTGGGACCAACACAGAACGCAGTACTGAGCCACCCCCTCCCTCAAAAGCAATCTCGGACGAGACATCATGGCAACTCATGGAGCCTGATGCTGGCATTGCTGTTGTCTATTTGCCTTTCATTTCCAACGAGAAGGTCCCTGGTATTTCCCCCGGAACTACCGATTACCTTAGCACATGGAACTTTATCTATACCCCTGAACAGATTGATAATGTTACTGCATTGGCTCGAGCAAATTATGACGAGGGAAAGCAGCAGATCAGAGATACCATCCGCGCAGTGTATCAGCGCAAGAAGAAGCTTCGCGAAGAAACAGAAAAGGCTCAACGCCAAGATCGTTATCGATCTCGCATGAGAAGAGGCGAAGGCATCCGTCTGGGCGAAGGCGATCATTTCAGTTGAGCCTGTGATTTCAACATTCCTGGCAGAACAATCATTTGACTTATAGGACCATGTAACTCGTATACCCGTGCAGACGTCAAGGGACGCAGTGTAATGTAAAAATTTGTTTTTGATTCTTATTTTGTTGAGTTTTGTCATTGTGTTACATTGTATCTTACAGTGACGTTTCCCATCCCGATCCTCTAGGATCCTATGCTCCCATGTAATTTTATACACAGCCCAACCGGGGCGAAAATTGCTCATTATCCACATGAAGAGCCGACGCCTAATACGCCGCTCTGAGTACATATATATCCAACACCACGACATTTCTGGTTTAGATGACCTCACCGATATCGATATGAGGGGCCGCCCAGCGCTTAGCATCCGGCTCGTACATATCACTTGGTACCCGGATCTTGTTTCCGGGACTGTAGAGGTACCACGCTTTGAGGGCGTTCATCGATGCCTTCCGTCTGGCAACGTCGAGGCTAGGGCCGCCACCTTCACCAAGTTTCTCAGAACCACTGTAAATACCAACAATGAATACAGGAGTTCGTGAATGCCGACCTGTCTCGCTCTCTAGACGAGCAACAGGTGCCTCAAACCCTTCGCGAGCGCACAACATAGAGAGTTCTCGTGTAGGTAGACTGAATTCGAACATGGTAGAAATGTCGACTTGTCGAGCAAGCACGTGAGCTTTGACGAAATCGCGAGCGGCGTCTTGACCAGAGTGGGTGTAAACAGCACCAACAACAGCTTGGACAAATGAAGAGTACGCCTCGTGTTGGTAATACTTATAGCCCTCCTCGCTGCTCATCTTCTCGGCGTTCACAGGATCACCAAAGGCATTGTCGTAGACTACACGACTGCTGATTCCTCGTCGGGGTTTAAATCGGTCGGTGAAAGCAGACTCTTGACGGACAGAACCCCAGCGTGACTGCATATCCGCATCCCGGGGTGCCCATTGTAATAGGCCAGGATCGACCTCCTCACCGGGAGCAGCAGCGGCCTCAACGCCCCACCTGCGAGCTACTTGATGCAGAGATTCCTTTCCAGAATAGGCACGGAGGGCCTCGTAGAGGACGGCCATTGGTAGACGAGGCCATTTACAGACGAGGAACTCGAGGACGTGATAGTTGATGAATGTGCTGCCGAGGAAGGCGAGGTTCGCGTTGTTAAAGCTGGGGTTCTTGTCGGCTGAGGGAACGATGAGGGCCCGGGCGAGAGTTTCCAGAGGGATCTTGTTGGAGAGAGATAGCCGGGAGTGGAGGGCCGCAAGCTTAGCCGACTCAGCCGCACGTTCGGGGGAGGGAGATGGGAGATTGGTGAATGTAGGTATATCTTCGCTGGTTTGAGAAGCGGCAGCTGTTGAAGCTTGACGTCGAGTCGTTTGTAGAAATGCCTGTCTTGAGATACCGCTACCGATACCACGGGCATGGGCATGGGCCTGCAGCAATTGGCCGCCCCATTGGTCGATCCGTACCCTCTTCATGGAGCCCAATGAATTCCCTCTCGAATATCCCGTCGGTTTGTGAAAGGCGTCGATGAGGCGACGGAGCGAATTGGAGATTGTCGCCTGTTTTTTTTGGTCGTCAACGGGTAAAAAGTTCTGCGCTACAAGGCTAGAGAGTAGTGTGAGCTGGGTGTCCGATTTGGCCGGAACAACAGACGGCCCGAACTTCGTTTCTTCCGTCCAGCCTTGGAAACTGGGACCTCACCTGTTGGTAACCGGCCATTTGACATCAATTCAACGTCGCCATCGCCCTCCCAAAACCCCTCTTTTCTGTCCGTTGATCAGTTATTAAAAATGGTGAGTGAAGCCTACGAATCGGAGTGAATCTGTGCTAACAGTTGACCTAGGGCGGCGGCGGAAAAGTTCCGTAAGTTTTACCTCTCACGAACCCCAAGCACCGAAAGCGAAGCGATTACCGTATCTAACCCATCCTGCGACAGTTACCCCAAGCACGTCTGGTCTCCAGCCGGTGGTTGGTACGCGCAGCCTGCGAATTGGCGCGCCAACACCCTGATTGCTGGTGTCGTTATGGCCGGAATCGTGGCGGTTACGTGGAAGTTCAGCGCCGGACGAGAGCAATGGGCGCACCGACCTGAGCAAGGGCAGTGGTACGCTAGCCGACAGTATGCTATCCAATTCCATATTGCTAAGATTCTGAGCGAAAGTACTGACAACAGGATTTAGCTGGTCGAAACAGTTGAAGCAGTGGGATGAAGAGGACAAGGGAAATGCGTCAAAGAGCGAATAGAGTCGGATAAAACAACACCGTGTACAAATTTCTGCAACAATACGAATACAACCCGATCCAAGATCAATATCTGGTATCTATGATGTTGTGATGTTGTGATGATGATAATGGTTGCTAATATTTCATTTCACGAAGCTGCCCGGAACATCTCGACTGGGATTGAAAGTAATGAGAAGCCATACCTCGAATCAAGAAGTCTCTAGTTTACCAACATGCTTTTCCCCGGACCAGAGGGTCATTAATTGGGTGTTACTGCTCGTTCCTGAGAGCAAATCAGAGCACTGCTAAATATGCTTATGTGAATCATTATTGCCGTCTAGTTCCCGAGAAGCCGGCTCATATTGGTGGTATCTCGACAGGCTTTACGAAGAACGAAATGTGCTTCAAATTGAAATGAGCTCATTCACGCCTGGGTTTCCCAAATACATTAGTATGTCTCCCGTTATACTAGACGTGAAGAGATGTTAGCCGAACACAAGATATTACAAGACTTTTAGGTATGCTGGGAAGATGTGCATCCTACATGGTAGGCCTCTATTTGATCCTTGTCCTCTTGAAGTGAGCTTAGACTAAATCGACATCGCTGGAACAAGTTTCACCCAAAGCATCAGACGACTGCAACAGTGATCCGTTACAGCCGAACCGACGTGACAATCGTATTAGAGCGGCCAAGACAAGGGCGATGATGATAAAGGACTAAGTAACACACCCTACACAAGAGTAAACCCACTTGACGTCAAGCTCGGAGGTGTTGAAGGTGCCAACTGAGACAGGGTCTCAGAAGACATTGATTGTAACAAAACACCTAATCGAGCTTGGATCATCCATTTGTTCTCAAGAAGCCTGGTGCTAAGCATAAGGAAAGTTACGGCAGATGTAGGTAGCTTGATAAATCATGATGCAAAACTACTACCTCGTTGAGTGTAATTCAGACATAGCCCAGCAGTTCAGTCCCGTTCAGTCTGCCCGAAACTATGCAGGACAACCAATAACAGAAGCATCATGGACAAGTCGGCTGTGAATCATTGGCCATCGGTTCTCTCGCAGAGGAACTGTTGCGTGTTCAAAGACACGCCAACTCAGCCCCCACCATAGCTGGTCTGCAATACCACGGGCAGTCCCCTCAATCTTACTCCATAACAGGTAGACAGTCAGGTACTAAATATCAGGTCCAGGGGTACTTGGGGGCACCAGGATTAAATTGCCTGAGTCCACTTTAAGCCGCTGCCACTGAAGTCACTACCGGCTCTAGGCACAGGTATTTTTCTACAGTTAGGACCGACAGGCCTACCTTAGGTAGGCTGGAGAGGACCCTTGGACAACCTAGACTAAGGTAGGTAGGTACCTACTCACATGAGGGTGCTCCGCTGCTTATGCTTATTGAGGCTCCAAGGCTGTTTTGCGTTGTTGGTCAAGGCAATTTCCCCTCTTTAACACTGATCGATTTGGCAGTATTTGATTGTTTCAAGTTGCTTGATTGAATACTGATTTCAAGCCGACTTTTCTCCCGTTCCTTTCCTTTCCTTTCCTCTTTCCTCTCTTTACGTTGTCTCTGTTGCATGCGGAGACTCGAGTTAGCCATCTTTCAGCTGCTCCGATCTTCTTCCGTGGGTATCGATCGTGTTCCAGAGGTTTGAACCACTGGGCTGCTCTGCACTGTCTCTGCCTTAAACCTTCACCTACACCTACAATCGTTACCTACTACCTACCTTGCCTTACCCTACCTACCTCAGATTATATCTCGCTCAATACCGCTTTTGATCATACGGGCACTGACTGTCAGTGTCTATTCCAACTCAGCTCGTCATTGGCTTGGCACTGCATCACCGTGTTCTTTGCGGGTCGCTTCTCAAGTTATTCGCCACCAGCCTAAGAGCTAGACTAAACGTCAACCAACGGGCGGCATACCACCTTGCATCGATCATATCTATCTCATCGTCTTGATAACCTCGTCTGGCTCTTGTTCCTGGATCGAGCCGGATCATTTCCTCCTTATTTATTACTTCTCTTTAATCCTCCACACGGCCTTTTACCACTCAACCTAGTTTACTCATCTCAACACCTGTTGATCTCAAACGGACCTTCTCACACTTGGTCTCCTACATCACCCAACCTCAATCTTTCGCCTCAACGACATATTGAACTATCCTTCAGTCTGGCTTCGCGCGCCTTTCGCCTCGCCGGCCTTGCTGTCGGCCTTGGTTTGAGTGCCTTGACTGCGTACCAACGCAGCCAAGCGCAGCAGATGTCTTCTCATGCCGACAGGCATGGTCACCTCGACGCGACCGCAGGCCGTGAGGTAGTCTATTGCCACGCCTGCGCCGGGGAATGGTATCGAGATGAGAGTGGACTAACTTGCCCCGAATGTCACGGCGAGATTACAGAGATTGTAGACTTTCCCATGCTGCCATTTCCTATCCAGAATACTAACCACTATGTCCAGATCGATCCCGCAAACGATCCCCGCGACTTTGATCACCACTCCTCTGCCTCCACCTCACCCGAGCATCACCCGTACGATTCAGATCCTGAAGAAGCCGACATAGATGAGCATGCCCAGCATGGCTTTGTGTTCCGAAGGAGCGTCCGAGACGGTCCGAACCACCCACATCATCATGATCCCTCTACTGCGCCAACTTATGAGCGCTTCTGGGATATGCTTAATGGGTTTGGACCTCGAGCACCTGGCGGGAGCGGTTCTTTCCCACCGAGCCCTGGAGAACATGAACAGCCCCAAGGACCAAACTTTGGACCACGCATTCACCGGACGACTTTCACGTCAGGGCCACTAGGCGGAACGACTTCTGTAACAATCGTCTCGGGACCTATCCATGCAACAAGCCGTGGTCCAGCTGGTGCCCCAGGAGGTGAAACATTTCAAGAGTATGCACAATCCCCATTTCAGCTTGCTGAGAGACCTGGCGGCTTGCGAGTCACGGCCATTTCCATGACCATTGGAGCTAACCAGCGTGCCAGTTTCTTTCAGAACATGCTACGCGACATTGTACCGCCACCACACGCTCATAACCATGGCGGCGAGGAAGGCACCGGAGGTCCTCCACCCGGTCTGGCTCGAAGCCTGCAAGATATCCTGAATCTTCTCAATCCAGCAAATGCAATGCATGGTGATGCTGTGTACTCCCAAGAGGCTCTGGATCGGATCATCACTGGGCTCATGGAGGCCAATCCCCAGTCCAACGCCGCCCCTCCAGCTACAGAAGAAGCTCTCAAAAACCTGGAACGAAAACCTGTCGACAAACAAATGTTAGGCTCGGAGGGAAAGGCAGAGTGTACTATTTGCATCGATGAGATGAAGGAGGGGGATATGGCCACATTTTTACCTTGTAACCACTGGTTTCACGAGGAGTGTGTCACCTTGTGGTTAAAGGAGCACAATACTTGCCCCATCTGCCGAACGCCGATCGAAAAGACCGATCGCAGTGGCAACAATAATGGCGGCAATGGAAACAACAATAACAACAACAATGGCGGCGATGGCTCACAATCCCAAGGTCCAACGCCAGGGCCTAACTCTGACCAATCGAATCCGTTTGGAACTCGAGCGTCATTCACGTTTACTCCCAACCAGTGGACACCATTCGATAACCCTCATTCTCACACACGCCCGATGCGGTTCTCGCGACCTCCAAGTCAGAGCCAGAGTCGCCTGAATGAAGCGTTGCGTACTATCTCGAACCGACAACAAGAGAGAGAACGTGAACGTGAGCGTGAACGAGGCGAGACATCGGGATTTAGCTACGACACGTCTCGACTTCAGCGACGAAGCTCACACTCTCCAACAAGTCCAAGAGCGACTGCCCCGAGTGAACATGGCGCTCGTATGAGACAGAGAAGTCCTTCCCAGAGTAGCCGTCGGTCAGCGGCGGACTCGGATCAACAACGTCGACAGAGCAGCCATGGCCCCATTAGCTGGCTCCGCGATAGATTTGGCGGAGGAGGGCCTGGTAACGGACAGCCACGAGAGGAAAGGCGACAGTAGAATCGTCACTCACCAAACTCTGGGGGAATCGCATTGAGGACGATATCAGAAGTCCTGATTCCTCGTCGTTCACTCGCAATGTGGCATGAAGACACTGAGAGGTCTTAGAGGCAGACCTTGGTGAGAGAACGTATTGCTATCATGCCGCCTCGATACACAACGTGCAGTGACTGCAACCAAGTGCCAATTTCTTGACGTATGGCTTCGATGTACAGAATAGAATGGGGTTTAGTTGGTAGGGCACACGGGAATTGGAATTGAGCTACCAGCGGCATTGCTAATTACATAAATGGACGCTAGGGATACCCGATAAAGAATGAAGGCTGATGTTGGGTGCTTTTACTGTGAGCTCGACCCATGTTGGTTGTGTCAATGGATATCAAAGGATTGCATTCCAGACAGCATCTGCTGAGTGTGCCAATGTACACGGCCTCCTGTAAGGGCAATGCTAATGTGTTCGAGTCTATTGGCTGGTTGTTGAGATACCAAGCAACTCTTAAAACTTTTGACCATTAAGCTGTTATGCCATATTGACGCCTCACTTATAATTGTACTTTTAAAATTAGGCAGCGTTTGCAACTTGAACGCATGATTAAGGGAATGACGGACAAGCGATGTTTAATCCCTAGAACAAAGTAATGTATTTCACTATCTCGCTGCATGAATCCAGAAATATCACAACGCTCTTGCGCAGGCTGCTACTGACTCATGTCTCTATCTCTTGGTCTTCTTTGGTCTCATCTTTTGGCTCTTGCTGGTCAGGCTTTCTAGTTTGACCCAGGATGCGTTCCCCAGTTCGGGTCCACGGCGGGCCAGTCTGAGTCCCCAGATTCTGACAGGGAGGACTGGTTTGTTCCGTTTCCAGCAAGGATCTGTGCCCAAGTCGGTTTCGGCTCCGGCTCCTCCTCCGGCTCCTTCTCCAGATTCTTATCCGGCCCCTTCTTCTGATCCTGGCACAAAGGGGGGGGTACATCATGAGGCAGGATCTGGGAGGAGGCCG